TCTCAAAAGTTGCCCTGCACAGTTAAGGACCAAGGGGAACCTACATATAAAATTTGAGAAAGATCTCGCTGATACTTCCCGAGGAATAGCGATAACAAACTTTCAATATAAAAATCCAAAATAGCTGCCTGTCGGCCATGTTGTTTATCCGATCAATCTCAAAAGTTGCCCTGCACAGCTAAGGACCAAGGGGAACCTACATATAAAATTTGAGAAAGATCCCTCTGGTACTTCTTGAGAAATACCAATAACAAGAATTGTTTACGGACGGACGACGAATGACGGACAACGGACGGACCACGGACCACAGACACAGTGTGATTTGAATAGCCCACCATCAGATGATGGTGGGCTAAAAACCAAAGATGACCAGAACATCAGAAATAGGAATGAACTTATGAAGCTGGAGAAATGCATTTGATATATCATTCAGTTGGGATACTCACTAATTTTATTTTACGCAAACCCAAGTTCATTTAGGAAGAAAAAACAAAAGGACGGTCTCATCACAGGAACTTGAATTTCTATCAGAATGGTCTNCCCCCCCCTTACCACAGGAACTGTCTCACTAGCCGCGGCTATCCAACGACCGGAAAGACAGTCTGAACAGTGCAACATTGAAATTGACGGGCCGCGAAACTGGGCACCTAATATCAGGCTAATGTCATCGTTCCATGGTCTTCTTCTTCTTCTTGTGGATAATAGCAATCCTTCACATAAACAAGAGTACATGCTATGCGCTGGGGAAAATCAGAATTGACATTAAACGTGAAATACTTCATACAGAACAAAATATTTGAATGAAACAACTTGTTACCTATCTTGTACTTTCTTGTATAATAGCGGTCCGTGACAGACAAACGTTCATTTATTTTCTCTTCGTTTCCGACGGGTTCTTCCATATCGGCCATCTTTAAAATCTCAGTTTTTCAAGCGTTTGTATCAAACGGACTAGTTTCTGAAGGTGGTAGGTAAATCTTGTACGCCGTTCCCTGTCCCGGACTAAAACCCCATACCAGGAATATACAGATATTTTAATATCTCATTAACGCGATCGTTTATAAAAAAAAAAAAAATCAAATTATACAATAATTTTTAACATTAATTTCTAATTGTGACAGTTACAAAAATGTTTTTTTTGTCATTTGATAATTTAGAAATCGACGATATTTCATGGGGGTAATACGCCGCAGTCAACCGTGAAAATTACCTATTTATACAAAGTATCCGAAATATAGAGTCTAATGTCATATTAATTTCGGTTCCACAAAAAAAGAATGCATTTTTGTTTGTAATTAGATCAGTTTCAAAGAAAAAATAACGACCTTTTTTCACATGAAATATCGACTTTATATAAAGGAAAATATGTGAAATAAAGGATCACATCACTTGAAAAACATGTAACGTATTCCGTCTTTGCGTATTGCAGAGTTATCATCTCTTGGGAGCAGGTGTTGATTGTTACGTCATTGGTTTGTGTGAGAAAAATTGTGTCGTTTTCTCAAAAATTGATGACGTTACTCTCACAAACAAGTGACGTAATAATCAATACCTGCTCCCAAGAGAAGATAACTCTGATTGTGGTAAGATAGTGGTAAGATTGTGGTAAGATTGTGATAAGATTGTGGTAAGATTGGTAAGATTGTGGTAAGATTGTGATAAGATTGTGGTAGGATAGTGGTAAGATTGTGGTAATATTTGAAAGCACTAACATTCATGAAAATATTGAAAAAGTTAAAAAGTAGCCCATAATTTATCACAGATTTCAGGTTTATTTTTTCAGTACAGTACCATATACATGACAGGAGAGAACCTCCAGGCAGGGTAGAACAGTTGGCAAGGAGTGTTACATTACCTACATGGAACACTTACAGTTGAGGCCGCCCCACACATGCAGCATTCTGTGGAAATCCTTGATTGATTGATTGATAGGTTTTACGTCCGCTTCACTACCGAGTAGTTCGGTTATCCAGCAGACGAAGAACAGAAAGGAAAATGAGTAGAAGGGATACAGTATGGAGTAACAGAGTAGAAGAGGGGGATAGGTTGGAGAAGGGGCCGTCTATCCTATATATGTTAACTGTATAAGTATAGTTTTTGTAAGACGGCTCCTATACCTAATAATGCCTTAACCTAACACTCATCGTACAGCATCCTGTGGGGATCCTTATAGTTATCAGCCTTTCTTAGGTCGTTGGGCAGACAGTTCCATATGCGGACAGCCCCATACCGAAATGAATTTGTACCATACATGGTAGTCATACCCCTAGGTACATCTACAGTCTCCTCTTGCCTTAAATTATAATTGGATATCTTTTTAATTACCAATTCCTGTATATGCCCAGGAGACACATATTGTTAACAATTTGAACATTTCAGATAGGTTCATATATTTGATCACAAGTGATGATTACATCGATTTAAAGTCTGTTTTAGTGATAATGTTAAGTAGCATGAGCGAACCCTTGACCAATATAATGTGTAACGTATCTGTTGGAAATGGTAACGTATATGTTTAAGGACTGAAATGAGTAACCTAAGACGCTGAAAACATTTTAATACCTATGCGCATGGCAAAAGTGTATATAACTGAAATACTGAAAGCTCTTATCGCATTTTATTTGTTTAATTCACCCTCATATCAAAGTACATTTGTTTGACGAAGACTAAGGCGGAAATACAAAAAGCTTATCAAGAGCGCAAAAAGCTAAATGATCCCTAATTCCTACAAAAAGAAAACTCGATGTAAAATGTAGGGTTCATACATCTGAAAAAAAATCAGTGAAGGATCTTAAAGAATATAGAAAAAAAATCTTTCAACTTTCTAAAATTGATTACGAAATCGTCATTTTTGAGTTGGAAAAAACGTGACATGTACATGTACGTATACGCTAGCGTACACATTTTCGGCAGATAAAGCCGCCCTTTTTTTAATTTCGTCTGCAGCTTTTGTGAAGTTGTTTTCAATATACAAGTTTGTAATAAAGTTACTTGTTCAAATTGTGTGAACAGATACGTTACAAGATATAAAGAAATGATTGTATTTAAAAAAAAAGTATTTTTCAATTAATAAATATTTAGCACTAGTCTTCCTGACGACATAGCTTGACGGAGTAATCTCCCCGTGATCACAACAAAGTCAGAATTTTATGCGAAAAATGTCGTTTATTTCAACAAAACTTACATAATTATAAACAGTAAGGTATTTTTGTTCTATATGTGGGAAAACAACATGTAATCTGTCTCTATTTTTCTCATGCTATGTGAAAAACCGTAATTTTCACAGTTGAGTACAGCGTACAAGTTTTACCCCCTTGAAATACACATTATCGTCAATTTCTAAATTATCAGACGATTTAATGTTTTCATCCAAAGTTTCACATTTAGAAAAAGATTGTTTGGTTTGATTAAACTTCAAGCCAATGAAAAAAACGATCTCGTTGTAGAGAAATTCCAATATCTCTAAAGTTATTTCTTTGGTACGGGGTTTTAGTCCGGGTCCGGGTACGGCGTACAAGATTTACCTACCACCGTTGTGGTCTCACCTAAAAGCGTCTTCAACCGACAACAAACGTCTTCAAGTGACAATAAGCGTCGCCAGACAAAATCTTCCAAAATACTGAATAAAATAAGCGACATCAAAAGATATGTTGTTAATATGACAATAATACACCTCTGTACCAAATTTCAATTTGATATTTGAAAAATTGACCGAGTTATGATGAATTGAATTTTTACGATCGCGGCGTGGCATTAGCATGTAAAGTGAAGAAAGCGTCGCCAAATAATATCGTTAAAAATACTCGCTAAAATAAGCGACATCAGAGGATATGTTATTAGTAAGACTTTAATTGATATTACAAATTTCAGCTCGATATTTGAAAACATGATCGAGTTATGATTAATTTATTATTACGATCGGCGGCGTGTCACACGTGTGTGAATAGAACGGTAACGGGTTGTTTCGCCCCGAATCCCGTTCGCCCTAAGGGTTGTTTCGCCCCAAATCCCGTTCGCCCTAAAATCAAGATATAATTACGTGCCGGAAGATGAAGAACGAACCTGTAAATATACTATATTCATCACCAAAGCCGACATGTACAACGGATATACTAATATTCGGAATAATTACCTTAATTAAGTAATGTTGTTCTTTATATAATGCTCCTGTACATGTTTTCACGTTACAAATGTAAAATAGTAAAACCAGTACAACTTCTAACATGATGTAAACAATTAAAAAGCACCCTGTCACGTCAGCCACTTTATATCAAACATATTTGAATATATGGACATATAATGAAACTAAATTAATTTCTCTAAATACAATACTTATAATATATCCGTCTTTTCGAATTGCAGAGTTATCTTCTCATAAGAGCAGGTATTGATTGTTACGTCATTGGTTTGTGTGAGAAAATTACGTCGTTTTCTCAAAAAATGATGACGTTACTCTCACAAACATATGACGTAACAATCACTGCCTGCTCTCAAGAGAAGATAACTCTGCAATACGCAAAGACGGAATAGATAAGGTATGGACAATCTAATTCCGTGTTGAAACTAAATTAATTTCTCTAAGTACATAGATACGTATACGAACTGGACATAAATTAGGTACAAATTGCGTATAAGAATGAAATTAATTAATACTTTCTCTAAGTACAATACTTAAAATTAATATATAAAGATAAGATATGGAAATAACGTAATGTTGAATTATAACACAGTATTGAGAAATGCCCTATTTATGACAAGTTACCTACTTAAAATTATCTACTCAAATATGCATAAGAAGTTTTGTTATTTCCTAGAAATTTGGTTAGCTTAAAGCTTGATTTGTATTATTTCAACAACTAAATTATGCTTCATAAGAGTCCGCTAAGTTACCTAAGGAAAGGCTTAAAGTTTTCCCCAACTTATGACTATTTGATTTTTAATTATTATGTATGGAATTGAATATATTGCATATGTTCTCCACCATAGTACAAGATATTTGTAAAGTATTCATATGCAATGTGCATTTGGTAATAAATTGAATGGAAATTGAAATATTAATTTGTATTGGTCGGTACTATCAAAACTTCTCAAAAACCACGGACGTGCGCAAAAATCTAGTAAAGAAAACATCGTCACGCGGCGACGATTATGTGTACACTAGACTAAATGTGTTAACATGGAAAAATAATATTGGTGGATACCCTGCCATGTAATTAAAATTACACCATTTTTGCTTCATTTCACTATTCTTATTTATTTCTAAAATTAAATTCAATATATGTTATAATGTGTGTAGGCGAGAAGAAAATAACGTTATCCGTTTTTTTGCGCTTTACTAGGTACTTAAAAACAACGCAAACACATTTTTAAAAATAAAACTGACGTAAATGATATGGAATACTAAGAAGACTTAATTTGTGACTTAAAACAAATAAAATTGAAAAGAAAATACAAAACAATGTTTCGCCCTTAAATTTTTGTTTTAATAATTAATTAAAAAACTTATTGAATAGCATTTGAAAAAATTATTTACAATATTAACTAATACAAATTTAGATATGGGAGGAGGGTCTTTCTTGTTTTAACAGAGTACCTCAGACTACCTCGGAGTAACTTAATTAAAACAACAATCAACAGGATTGGTCAGAGGGTGTGATGTATAGCAAAATCTTCACATATCATTTGAATTTGAATGAGACTTTCAACCATGATATCAGCATCGACGAAATGTTTAGTGTGCGACAGTGTGATCCGACCTGCACAGCATGCAATGCAGTGCGATTGCTGTAATAGATGGCAGCATAGAACGTGTGGTACCGGTAAGTGATATGAAATATATATAAATGTAAATCACAGAAATACCCAATTGATACATTACCGTGCATGGTAAGATAGAATTATTTATATAAAAAAAATAAAAAGACATTATCTTACTGTTGTATAA